ACTCAATCTACAGCTGCTGAAAGTGCTCTGGATGATCAGGAACCTTCAACTAAATCCAAGAAAAACCAGAGGAAAGCTAAGGCTTCATCCTCTGTGCAAGTGGCAGAGACTAAAGCAGGGGGTAAAAAGGAGTCAGTTAAAACCAAAGAGAACGATATTTATTACCCTACTGAAGAATGGGTTATCGAGAAGATCAAGACACTGATACCTGATCTTGAGGAACATGGTTGTAAACTTGTTTTGAGTGGAATTCAATATTTTATAATAATGTGCGTACATTGTAGTTCTTGTTCTGACATACTAAATTATAATAGGCATAGATGATCCTGCAATAATCCTCCAACCTCTGGTAAATCATCTTAGACCTATGCTGAACAATTCATGGAGAGAGAGGAAGAAGGCATTATTTTCAGAAAATGCAGAGAAAATGAAACGCTTACTTGACAATACCCAACAGAAACTTGATGAGGTAAATACAGTTATATTGCTCTATGTTGGTGGTGATTTGAACATTGCATTCATTCTGTTTCTAGTGGGTAATAAGTTTAAGAAGCTTATGATATATTATTGAAAACCTACCCAGAAGAAACTGTATGCTAAGCTTGCGTTTTCCTGTGCAGTCTTTCTTAAATTTGCAGCTATATGGAAAAGCTTTAGATTTATTTGAAGATGACCAGTCAATATCTGTAAGTAAAACGTTTGGTAAACAATTTTTGAAGAGAAGTACATGTGAATTGGGTATAACCACAAAAGAGATATTTGGTAATGCTTTACAGGTCATTTTGCACCGGCATTTGCTAAGAACAACAGCTGCACCAATTGTGGATATGCTTTTTCATAACTTGGTGAAGTTATATATTTTTCTTTTTATAGTACAAATTGAATCCAGAGTGAATGATGGGATAATGTTTTATTTGTACTATGAATTTATAATGTAGGATTTGCACAACAAGTTGAAGAATGGAATTGAAGTTGCCGAATTGCAGAACTCCGAACCAGTCTCACTTAGTACTGGAGAAAGAACTACAATTGTATGGAAAAAAAGCTTTACATGATATAACTGTTAAAAAAAGGATGAATTATCATGGTTTTTCTTTCTTTTGAAACCTCTAAAAAACTTGGCCTTGTTTCCAAAAAGTGATATGCTCACAGTTGTAGTTGTGTATCTTTGCATTTTAGGCTAAGAGCTTTCCTGGATCTCTGTCAATTAAGGCTGTTACTGTAGCTGAAGCTTTGGAAGGGAAGGTAAGTCATCGATTGTTAAGAGGATAGTGCTTTGTGCATGTAATCATATTTTTTCCCTTAAAGGATACTGTTATTGATAATGATAATGTTTTTCAATTTCCTTCTTACTTGGGAAAACTGTTCGACAGACTATATTTCATATTTCTGCTAGGTAGAGTTAGTATGCAACTAAAGATATTAGTTAGGGTTGTTTCTACAACTATTTGATGCAGAAAATAATCCATCAATGAATAATAGAACATGTTGCATTGCTAATCCGGACAATTGATTAATGCATATTTTTGACAAAAAAAGTCAAAGGTTTGAATCTCACCCCTATATATTATTGAATTATATATGTGTGTGTCTGTGTGTGCTGCTATCTCTATCAATTGGAATTGCCTTTTCAATCCTGAACAGCCCTAAATGTTTAGGGTCTGCGTTTTTTTGTTCTTTTGTACTTCCATTTATGAAATTTGGTTTCTTTATTAAGAAAATCACGTTAACTTTCCAGTACTCCTATTTCTTTCTTAATCGACTATTTTAGTTACAATATTTGTTTTCTTTATTTTTTTTTTTCAATGAAAGTATAGTTTCTCATTAAAAAAAAAAAAAAAAAACAAAAAAAGCAATAGTTTAAATTCAATTTAAGGAGTTTTCTAGTATATGACCTTTTTTTTTTGTCAAGGCTTATGAAATTGAAGTCCTAATTCCTATATGAATTTAAGTAATCCTAGATTGATTATCAAGGTGCTGGTCTGTCTTTTTTTTTTTTTTTTGTCCATCTTATCTTGTTTTCTGTTTACAGATTTGACACCACAATAGCCCACCAAGATCTCCAAACTTTCAAATTGAACATTACATTTTTCTATTGTTGTGTAATATCAAATTCACTTTTTTCACTTGTTTTTTTTTTTGTTTGTTTAGAGAACATTGAGTTACAAGTTTTCATTTTATTTCTTTTTTCTTTTTTAAGAATTTAAATCAATTTTAATCTTTATTTTCAATTGGATTCATGGTGTTCATTTCTTTATACTTTATTTTATGGAAACTTCATTCAGTGCGTACACTGAATATTCGGTTTAACCTGAGTTCAATTTATATTTTATGAGTAAATAAATTTTACCACCATATTTCTATTATTCGTTCATATTTTCAATCAATGTGTTTTTTTTTTTTCAAGTTTATTCCTGAAAGCTTTTTTTATTTGTACTTAAAGTTGCTACATTGTTTGGTTTTTAATTGTCATTCTTTTGACTTTTCAGCATGATATTGATTCCAGTTATTGTAGTCGTAATTATAGATAAAGCTTAGCTGTTCAATGCAACATATCTCTGAAAGGACCTAGTGTATTCTAGAATTGAAGTACTAATTGTCTAATAATAATTTGGAAGGATAATGTCTGTGAATGTTATGACCCAGAGTTTTAGTGTTCTATGTAACAGCTGATGGACACCTTCATAAATGCACTGGAGGATTTAGCTGAAGAGAGGTAGCCGTCCTATTTATTTAGTAATTATGTCCCTAAGAACGTTACTCACTATTGCACTGCGCTGAACATGTGAATCTGCATTTGGTTTAGTGGAATGATCGTGAAAAAACTTGACAAGAAATTGGAGAGGACTCTTTTGCATTCCTATCGCAAGGTAAGAAATTCTGATTTTATGAATTCTGAAGTTTGAAACTTACAGACTTGCATTTACGGAGCGAGGTTGTCATTTACTCATGTTTTTTCCTAAAATATGATTTGATTCATAATCTAAATGCAACAGTGGTTCTTAAGTAACTGGGACTTCAAATTTTAGTTTAGGACAGAAGTCGATAATTATGGAAAGATAAATCTATATCTAATAACAATAATAAAAAGAATCTTCTAAACAGCTTAGGTAAGCAAGACAACTGTACAATATTCATAATAAGTTATTAAAATGGGCTATTGTCCAACATTCTTCATCAAGCTAGTAATGAATTATTTCTATTCCTTGTGGAAACCTAGTTCTGAAAGCTTTTGTCAGGCAAACTTGACTTAGAGTGAGGGATTTTTGAGAACTTTATGTTTATAATCTATGTTGCCTCGTTAAGAAATTATCATTAGATGTTTTTTCCGATGGAATGTTAGCTTCTTCAATTCACAAACATACAATGTTGCAACCTTGACTTACGGAAAGATTGTTGTACAAGAAAGGAAATAAATCTAACAGAAAAAATTTACTAGGAAATGAAAGGAAGAGATTTGAGAAAGGAGGAAAACAATTTGAGAAACCTTGGGCCAAGGGATCTTCTTGGGTGGGGTTTTAGTCCCCTGAAATTGGGTTATGTATGTTAATTAAATCCAACTTTGCTTTTAAGTCTTCAAAAGTGTCCCTAAACATAAGATTTGTGAGGATATATGTTAGACCTCCAATCCAAAAGGTTTATTCAAGGAAGGGAAAAAAGGGACTTGTGGTTGTTTCGAACATTTAAAAATGTTACTTTTAGTTAGTTTCTTTGTTGGGTATTTTGAATTAGGGATAGTTAGGTTGCTTTTGTTTATATGCTTTATTCTTGTAAAGACTGTGGGGTTTCTTGATGTTATGCAAAGAGATCGATGACCCTCTTGGATGTTATGTGTTAAATTTTCTTTGTGAATTTAGTGAATTGATAAGAGATTTCTAACAGTTTGAACTGGGAACAAGGAAGATAAAAGAAATTATGGGAAAGGTGGATGAGAGATTTGAGGAAATTGGAGAGATGAGTGAAAGTCTTCAACATTTACATAGATTGGAACAAACCATTGAAGGGCACAGGGAAAACATGACACAAACATTGTTGTCGCTTCATGAACTGCCCATAAAAAAGAATTGTACCATTAGATCGTGAAGGATACAAAGTCATGATCAAAAGTTGGAGTTGGGGGAAACTTCTGGAAACATACCCGAAAAAGAACGCTGTGGTAAGAGGGAGAGGTTGTTGGTTGGTGCTTTAAAAAAAGTGAAGATGCCCATGTTCGATGGCACCTATCTGGAACCACAGATTTTTTTTGTGCTGAACATTATTTTGAAGAATAGCAAAAAGAAGTTGCTTCTAACACAGGAGCTTTCTACCTTTGATAGGAGCTTGATGAGTTGAAATCCCTCTGATGCGGGGTGGGTGGGTGGTTCAGAAACAATGCCTCTTCCGGAGGAGGCAATGTGAAAAAGAAACATGAGAGCAAAATGAATGAAAAGGAAAAATGACTTGTCCCCGAGGCCTTGGGTCAAGTAGGCTTTCTTGTATTGATTTTTGCTACATTAGATTTCTTGCTTAGGTTGCATTGTTGCTGCCTAGATGAAGGTCAAAGATACTATATACAAAAACTTGCCGACGTCCACGGCAGGTTGAAAATATGAAACACCTCCAACTTATAGTTCTTCATCCTTTTCTAGTTTTAATATTTTATAGCCATTATGTATATGCTTATGCATGCTGCGGTGCATTAAATTGAAAATTGAAGGTCCTTGGTTTTAAAGAACCACTCACTATTTTTTTTTTCTTTTTTGTTTATTAATTGCCAGGACTTGACCTCTCAAGTTTCTGCTGAAATGGATCCAATTGCTCTTCTACCGAAAGTTGTTTCCCTTCTCTACATACAGGTTAGTGAAGCTTAACTATTAATTGAATTAATTTTATTGTACCCACTCATAATGTTCTTTGCTTTTTGGCTTGTTGATCTGGATTTCTTATGATAGATTCATCATAAAGCTCTTCAAGCTCCTGGAAGGGCAATCTCTTTTGCTATTTCTCGGTTGAAGGTATGTTTTTATAAAACTTGATGAAAGAAAGATGATAATTAAATCTTATCTCCTGATTAGTGTAATAGCCTTACGAGATTAATTGTGGAGAAAATGAAGTTTCTAATCATTATAGTGCTCATATGTTCATTAGGTAAGCTATTTAGAGTCTGGTTTAGAAGAGAGCGAGACGGAAATATTACTATACTGGCTATGGATGTCATTGGTCTTTGCTGCAGGAACTATCATTTGCAGACTCTAGAGTTGGGGCTAAGAAAATGAAGTTTTTATGCTTAAAATGGAGAATAAGTTTGATTTAACTCCTGGAATTACACTTTTGAGAGGCAGATCTGAGGTCTTTCCCTTTGGTAACGTAACACACTATAATATAAAAGATAGGACAAAATGACAACAAGTAGTTGGACCTTTAAGGGTTAAAATCTTTTCTTTAATCATTCTGCTAGCATTGGTTTGTGTTTAGGTACTTAATATTTTCAAATTAGCTGCTGCAAGTTTGTAGGTTTGGTTTAAAGAAATATCAACCATAAGGTGCTGAAAGGTGGCTAGAACAAGCTTTTGAATTTGTGTTGTTTTGAAAACCATAATTGTTTTTGCCTCTTAACTAGATTAGGATGTATTTTGGAAACCTACCTTCTATAGGTTTTTTCCTTATTTATTTCCTTCCTCTACTGAATGTTAGCTAGCATGTAACTTTCAAGGAATCATGGATAGATGCTCCCTTCAAATAAATTCGACTGAATTTGAGAGAATTCTTATCAGCATGAATTTGTTGAAGGTCAAGCTTACCTTAAACTTTTTTTTAACAACAAACAAAACTTTCCTTATTTATTTCCTTCCTCTATAGGTTTTTTCCTTATTTATTTCCTTCCTCTACTGAATGTTAGCTAGCATGTAACTTTCAAGGAATCATGGATAGATGCTCCCTTCAAATAAATTCGACTGAATTTGAGAGAATTCTTATCAGCATGAATTTGTTGAAGGTCAAGCTTACCTTAAACTTTTTTTTAACAACAAACAAAACTTTTCATTAATAGACTAATGCTCAAAAGATCTAGCTCCCAAGAGGGTGGGAATACATAAAACAGTGATAACAAGGCATCCGAAGTAAGACATAACATAGAAGAGCAAAGGCCTGGAGAACAGAACACCATGATAAGAATGGTAATCTTGCGGAAACAAATCAAACAAACCAAGAAATGAACTGAGCTATAGACAACTAACCAACCACAAAGCTATCCAAACTGAGTTAAAGTCTTCACCATCTTCAACTTCTTATAAAAAATTCTAAGGAAATGCAGGAATGAGTCAACCAAAAGGGAAACTCCCAAAGAACTTCAAATTTCCGGCATAATCCAAAAAGATACCTTAAACAAATGCATTGGGGAATGGACAGATTCAACCAGGCTAGAAGAAACTGAAGCTCCCCTATCAAATTTTGATGAGCATCCAAACAAAAGCACCAGCAATTTAAATGACCTCCCCAAACCTCAAGTAAAAAAAGTAAGCTAGCTAACTCCTTTAGAACTATCTCCCCAACCTCGTGAAAAATAGGAATAGACCAACAATGAAAAATTAAGCATTCTGACGGACTCCTGGAACATACGGGGTCACCTATTTAAATTGCTAACCACTTGCCTAGATTAGTGAGGAGAATTTATCCGGTAACAGAATATCAATTCTTGATGGTTGATTTTCATCTGGAACTTTAACAATGGGGCAATTTGACTTATGGTGTGTTGGTGACAACAGAAAACTGAATTGAGATTGAGAGGAGGAGTGATTTGAGTGATGGGGAGGGAGGTCCTTTTATAGGGGATTCCCGGAATTGGTTGAGATTTTTGTGGATGATTTTGGGGATGAATTTGAATTCACCTCCTCCTCTTCCGTAACTAATTCAAATTCTATTATTAGCTATTATTAGTTTCAACACCCTCCCTTAAACTGAATTCTGCGGAAATCAGTTTAGGACTTCATTTCATCTTCTTGATATACATCTTGGATTCTGCATATCCCCATCTTTCTTCTGAGCAAACAATGGTTGTTTCAAGGGCTTTGTCAATAGGTCTGCGATTTGTTCATCACTTCGGCAAAAGTTGAGTTAAATAATGCCTTCTTTACACAAATCACGCAAGAAATGAAATCGAACATCGATGTGCTTGCTCCTTCCATGCAACACAGGATTTTTAGACAACTTAATAGTTGACATATTATCACAATATATAACCGTTGTACTTGGTTGCTTCTGATTAAGAATTTCAAGCATTTTTCTTAACCAAATTGTTTGGCACGAGCATGCTGCTGCTGCCACAAATTCTGCTTCTGTCGTTGAGAGTGTTACAATAGGTTGCTTCTTTGAAGACCAGCAAATAGCTCCTGAACTCATCAAGAAAATACTTTCTGAAGTACTTTTACGATCGTCTATATCACCTGCATAGTCGCTATCTGTATAGCCAACTATCTTCGGATCATCTCCTTTTTTGTAGAATACCCCCAAATCAGAGGTTCCTCTCACATAACGAAGTATCCTTCTTGCTGCATTGAGATGTTTTTCCGTTGGATGCTCCATGTAACGACTTATCATACTAACCGCATACATGATGTCTGGTCTTGTTGAAGTTAGGTACATCAAATTTCCCACAATTTGTTTGAAGTACCTATTATCAACCTCTCGCCCGTCAATGTCCTTGTGCAACTTTAAACTCAATTCTGATGGAGTTCCAAATGTGCGCTCATCCAATTTAAATCTTTCAAGTAATTCTCGAGCATACTTCTTCTGACAGATAAAGTTACCTGCGGGAGTTTGAGTAACTTCTACTCCAAGAAAATATCTCATCAAGCCAAGATCTCTCATTTCAAATTCCTTCATCATGCTCTTCTTAAAAAATTCAAACATTTCTTCATTATTGCCAGTAAATATTAAATCATCAACGTATAAGCAAATAATCAAGCCAAGATCTCCCTTTTCAGTTTTCACATACAACGTATGTTCATACGGGCATTTAGTGAATCCCATCTTTTCAAAATGAGAATCAATGCGACTGTACCATGCCCTCGGAGCTTGCTTCAAACTGTACAAAGCTTTCTTCAACTTGTATACTTGTTCCTCTTTGCCTTTTTGAACAAAACCCTCTGGTTGCTCCACATATACTTCCTCTTGAAGCTCTCCATGTAAGAAGGCTGATTTCACATCAAGTTGATAAATAGGCCAAGATTTTTGTGCTGCAATAGAAATTATGAGCCTGATAGTGTCTTGACGTGCCACTGGTGCAAATACCTCCTTATAATCAATTCCATACTTTTGCTTGTATCCTTTTGCAACAAGTCGCGCCTTGTACTTATCCACCTCACCGTTTTCATTCAACTTGGTTTTGAAAACCCATTTTACTCTGATTGTTTTTTGCCCTCTAGGAAGATCAGTGAGCTCCCAAGTCTTGTTCTTCTCTATGGATTTGATTTCACTGTCCATAGCTTCCTTCCATTTCTTCTCTTTTACTACTTCTTCATACACAATTGGATCACTATCCATAAAGAATGCAAAATAACCACTATCACTTGATTCATAATCCATCTCATAATCAATCGTCCAGTTTGGTCTTTTTCTTGTTCTTGGATGTCTTTGATTTTGATCATGATCTTCTTCTACTGGTTCTTCTTGTTGAGCTTGTGATGAGCTCTCTCCATGCTCATAGTGAGGCTGAATAGGAGCTTCAGTTTGTTCTTCTTCAAGATCTACAGGAATCTGCTGATTCACAGTGATCTTTTCTTCCCATGTCCAAGTCTTATTTTCGTCAAAGACTACATCACGACTCACCACCACCTTCTTTGTCAAAGGATCGTAGAGCTTGTATGCCTTAGAGGTCTCGCTTACTCCAAGGAACACACACTTCGAACTCTTGTCCTCAAGTTTCTTCCTTTTCTCATCAGGAACGTGTGCATATGCTATGCACCCAAAGATTCTAAAGTGGTCTACTGCAGGTTTTCTTCCGCTCCATGCTTCTTGTGGAGTCATATCTCTAACAGAAAAGGTAGGGCTCCGATTGAGAATGTGAACGGACCACACAACAGCTTCTGGCCAGAATTCCTTCGGGACTTCTCCTTTATTTAGTAAACTTCGAACCATGTTCAGAATGGTCCTGTTTTTCCTTTCGGCCACACCATTTTGTTGTGGTATATATGCTGTTGTTAATTGCCTCCGTATGCCCTTCTCTTCACAAAATTGAATAAACTCTTTCGAGCAGAATTCTCCACCTCTGTCAGTTCTTAAAACCTTGACTCTTCTTCCAGTTTTGGTTTTCATAGTAGCACAAAATTTTTTGAAGCAGTCAAAGGCTTCTGATTTGGCGTGCAAGAAATAAGTCCATGTTTTTCGACTAAAATCATTGATGAGGGTCATGAAATATTTCTTGTTACCATTTGATGCAGGAGAGATGGGACCACATATGTCTGAATGAATCAACTCCAAAATTGCTTGAGCTCTTCTTGATTTTCCAGATGGAAAAGAGTTTCTTTCATGTTTTGCTACTACACAGCTCTCGCAAATTTCCGTTGGTGGAGTAATATCTGGCAACCCAGTTACCATCTTCTTTGAGGACAACGTCTTTAATCCTTTGAAGTGTAGATGACCGTACCTAAAATGCCAAAGTCAAGTGGTATCTTCTTTCTTCACCATCAAACTTTTGGCAACGATATTTAACGTCAACGGATATAGACGGTTGGTGGTCATCTTCATCTTAGCAATCGATCCTCTTTTGGAGTCATAAATTTCACATTCATCATTTTGGAATGTGATCACATACCCCTTTTCTTGTAACTGACCGATACTAAGTAAGTTGGCCTTAAGATCAGAAATGTAGAATACATTAGAAATAGACTCTACAAAGCCATTTCTAGTCTTGATATCTACGGTTCCTTTCCCCATCACTTGGAGAGATGAATTGTTGCCAAGAGAGACCGTAGTATGAAAATTTTCATCTAAAGTTGAGAAGAATTCCTTACAACCTGTCATATGATTGCTGCATCCAGAGTCTACGACCCATACACCTTGATCTGCCACCTTCATAGCATGGAATGACATTAATAATGTTTCTTCTTCTCTTCTCTCCACAAAATTGGATTGATTTCTTTTCTCCTTTTGGAGCCTGGTATAGCATTCATTTTTGTAATGTCCAAGGCGTCTACATCTGTAACATTCCACCTTAGACTTGTCAAAGTGCCTCTTGCCTTTGTTGTTGCCTCTTGCCCTTTGTTGTCATAATCGTTTCTGACTAGGTCTGCTGACCTGCCAACATCTCCACTTCTTTCTCGACTGCCTCTCTCACGACCTCTGCCTCTTCTTTGCCCTCTACCTCTAGAGCTTGAAGTTTCACTTGGTGTGGATATCTTTAAGGTTGTCATCTCCTTTATTGCACTTGTACGATTGAGTCTCTGCTCATGTACTAATAGGGAGCTTTGGAGTTCATCTATTTGCATTTCCTCGACATTGTTTGCTTCTTCGATAGAACATACAATGTAATCGAACCTTGGTGTTAGTGATCGCAAAATCTTTTCTACGACCGCAACATCTGTGATTGAACCACCATGCATCCTCATTTTACTTGCAAGACTTATAACCTTGCCAATATAATCATTCACCGTTTCTCCCTTTTGCATTTGGAGAATTTCAAAGTCTCTCCTAACTGCCTGTAGTTGAGCACGTTTTACTCTCGTTGAGCCTTGATACTTCCTCCTCATAGAGTCCCAAATTTCCTTGGATGTCTTCTTCTGAAGCATTGTTTCCAAGATAGTCCTATCAATGGACTAAAATAAGTAGTTCTTGACCTTCAGGTCCTTCAACTTCGATGCTGCCAACAGTTGCTGTCGATCAGCTGAGAGTACCTCGCCTTCATTTGGCTCTTCATAACCTGTTTCCACCATATCAAAGAACTCCTTTGATCTGAGAAAATTTTCTATCAACATCGCCCAATGATCATAGTGACCATCGAACCTCGGGATGGCGGGCTGAACGTAGTTCTCAACTTGTTTTTCTGCTGCCATTTTTGCTGCTGCAAGATCGCTCTGATACCAGTTGTTGGTGACAACAGAAAACTGAATTGAGATTGAGAGGAGGAGTGATTTGAGTGATGGGGAGGGAGGTCCTTTTATAGGGGATTCCCGGAATTGGTTGAGATTTTTGTGGAGATTTTTGTGGATGATTTTGGGGATGAATTTGAATTCACCTCCTTCTTCTCTTCCGTAACTAATTCAAATTCTATTATTAGCTATTATTAGTTTCAACATGGTGACTGGAAATGGGTTTTTAAGTCAGCATGAACAGAATCCTCAGAATATCACTTCTCCCTTACCTTATATTAATAATGCTCGGTCTATAATGGACAAAATAATTTGTTACGAAGGTGAAGGTGAATTACGCATGAAAATTAATCAGGAGAGGATGATTATTAGTGATTGCTTAATGATGCACTGCATCTCCCGCTGCAAATTCCAGAACCTTTGGTGAGGAG